CTGCTGAAGTCAACAGACGTTTGCGCTGTACAAGGAAATAACGATGACAATGTTTTTTCTAGTCTCTGAGTGTACAGTAAAAACCAAACAATATGAAAGACAAGACAGAAGAGCACAGCAGAGCTGTCTGCTGTTAAGCAATAGCACTATCAACAGGAGATCAGGGAATAAATCTTGATCCTACATGATAGATGAGGAAGCCTCATGACTGGAAGTGAATGTTAAATACCCGTTCAGTCGCAGAAGCCGCTGCGGGGAGGGGGGGATCTCCAGCGCCCACCGGCGCCCCGAGTCCGGTGTGAACTGCGCTGTGCCACCCTCTGCTGTCCAAACCCTACCCAAGCAGCAGCCAGTCACTTCACCGAGTTCAAACCTTATTCGAAGCAAATGGTGTTTTCTGTGGGATATAACTAAAGAGTAGGTATCACTATCTTCCAGTGGCCTTTTACTGTGCAAAATGTTACATGAGCTTGGTTCTGGGGTGTTCCCAGCTCCCAGTACAACCCCAGAAAGGGAGTTCTAGGTAAAATTGTGGTACATTTTCTTTGCTGCATCTTTTTCAAACACTTCAGCTGACTGCAGTTGGGATGGGACATGGCGTCAAAAGGACAGGCAGGATTCTGCATCAAAGTTTCTGGTTCAGAAGCCAATCTATTGCTACCATGGAGCATAGGACTTTGACCCGGCCTCAGGAGTCCTCTAGGATGGATTGTTCCCAATTTTTCTGCTCTTCCCCATCCTGTTGCAGCTTGAGCCTGAAGAATGCCTGAGTCGTGTGTGTCCTAGACAGACTGTTAGTACCTGCTTTTGCTGATTGAAAATATTTTCAATCTTAACTTAATTTTAGTGCTTGTTAGAACTTCTAAGAGATAAAAAACAGATCCAGGAGCTCCATTTACATCTACTATGCTTGCATCTATTCAGTGGCATAGAAAGCAGAACTGCCTGCAACACCTCTTCAGGAGAAAAAGCACAGATGAAAGGAGGAATCATGGCACTAAGGATTTTACATTTCCATTGCACTTTGATGTTCAGCTCTCACTTCCCTCCCTACCCGAAGCAAGCTAACACCACGGTGTGTGACTACATGCTTCTAAGTGGTTGAATCTGCCTCCAGGCACTCTCCTAGTTTTCCTTGCTAAGTTTGAGAGATCATCTGTCTCCCCAGCATCTGTTCATGAGTGATGACGATCAATGCTAAAGAGAAAGGGCATCCCAATGGCAATTTTATCAACTGGAAATCATACATGAGGCTTTCAAAATGGGCTAGCAAGAGGAAATTAAGAATAGGTTAGGCTATAATAATCAGGCAGATCAAAGAAGTGAGAGAAAGAGGGAAAGTAACTCAGATGTCTTTTTAGAGGCAGAAAGCCCTGCAGAAAAGGAAGTATGAAGGCACAAATATCTCAGCACGACATCTTGGCGCTGCACTGTTATGCATTCCCTTGAGATAGGGGCTTAAATAGTATCACTAGGGCAAGAAGAGAGCATTCCAGCAGGGATATTAGCTGAAAAACACAGCAGTGTTTCCATCCCCAATGTGTTAAAAAAACCCACACCCCTCACACTCCGCCCCCCCAAAAAAAGTTCTCAAACAAGATTTTTACTAAATGACATAGTTTGTATTCTTTGGATTGTTCAGCTTTTAGTTTGCAGTTGGATCATGTTTTCCAGTTTTTCTTCATAATGAGGTATTAAAAATAATTGACTATGAGGTTTTTGAACAACGACAATATCCTCAAACGTGGCACTTTAATTAAAACATCAAAGATAATGAGGTTTGCCAATAAAACCAGGTTTGATAACACAGAGGTGTGGCACACCTCTGAAACGTGTTGCTTGGCTTCAGCCATCTGTCCTGGCTGTTACCAAAGGTTTTTGTCCTTGTAACAGAATGGGGATAGTTGTTGTTGAAAAGAGAGATGTAGGCAGAGCTGGAAGAATTAATTCTTTCAAAGCAGAAGCCACCCGGAGGCCAGTGCCTATTGAACAGAGGAAGAACACAGAGGAGAAATAGTTTTGAATGGTGTGGCTACCGATGCCTTGTTTACGGCCCGTGACAAGTTAACCTCAGGGTGTGGCATTTTTTTCTCCTCAGCAGAGAAGCCCTTCCTGGGGCTCTTTAATCAGGGGGAGTATTATCTGAGAAGCATTGTGGAACTGTTTGTGCTTCATAAAGCATTTGTTGGCAATTATTGGGAAATGTTTTAAACTGCTACCAATGTGCTCTACTGATATGGAAGCAGCCTGCCTGGATGCTCCACAACTTTCCCAAGCCAATCTAAGGAAAGAACAACCTGGTTTAAAGACTCTATGAGAAAAAATGGAATTTGTCCTTACATTATATTGAACATTTTTACCTTTAGAACTTACTGTCTGTCTCTACCCTGTACTGAAAGCCTATGATCTGACAATTCAGCCAGGGAATGAGGGTGAATACTCTGAAGGAATGAAGCCTGAATAGCCTATGAACCTTGGGTGACCTTTGCCAACTGTCCTGGTAGGCTGTGTTTTCTCCTGGCCAGACCCTAACATGCATGGATGTGTACTTGAACCCTACAGATTTTACAAACAGGCACCTGTTCTCAGGGCAAACACTGAAACCAAAGGTACTCTTCCCTCATAATGAGCTTTCATCACCAGCTGATGACACTCTCCTTGCTACTCCAGTAGCACATTGGTTTGCTATCCTGGCTTTGTTACACTTTTTAACTTTTTTCCTGCTGAATTGCTCCACCAGCAGGGGAAAAGTCTTGCTGCCTTCTTAGCTCCCTGACACAATTAAGAGAAAATAATGCTACTTTACTACGTGTCACACATGCTTTCAGCCAGACTGTGCTGTGAGGGACACGTGAGGGAGTTGCTTGTGGACACTTGTGGCAGACCTACTCCTAATTATATAAATTTCTTGTATTAGTGGGGTACATGAACGGGACCCCTACTGCCTGTCTGGTAACAATTAATATTGCTCTATAGTAACGTTAACACATTGCAGGTCAATATGCCGGTAACAGATTAATCTATTCTTTCATTCAGAAAAAAATATATGTCATCCCTGTCATATATAAGAATTATATAGAACATTCACACCACTGAAGAGACAGTTTTGCAGGGAGAGGAAGGTACTTTATGTTACTTTATGTGTCTTGGCTCACTGGGAAAATATGACAAAATTTATGTCTTTACATTTATCATTAGATCTGAATTTTTGGCAGGTTTAACTACTACCTTCTCTTCCCATTTATTTTTAACTGAGTCGCGTGTTTGTGAATGCACCAGTTTGATAGCCCCAAAGACAGAGAGCATCTGTTTGCCTATAAAGGAAATATATTTACAACATTCACTTCCACAAACTGCTCCCGAAAGAGCGCTTCAGTCACACACTTGAGGGGCTAACAAGAGGATCAGTAATGTAATACCCCTGTCATTTTGCCAAGATTACTAATGAGGCTGCAATTTGCCAGTGAGAGGTTGCAACTGTAATGGGTTTTGCAGTCTATTCCTTTTACTAGAAGGGCATTGTAACAACTCGTTCAGGCTTCTGGGTCACTTCCAATCCTGCAAGCATTCCCATAACTAATATAATTTTGTTAGTGATGTCCTTAAATCGTGTCACAATTCCAGTAACTAAGTCCATACTTAGAAAACTAAGTGAAAACATTTGAAAATCAGGCTGATTATTAACATTCTGACATTTAGGCATACTGGACAAAAATTTTAGCTAAAAGACTCCCTTGTATCCATCACATCCCTAGTTTTCTAATAGTAGTTCATCAGAATTGTTTCATTTACTGTGTTATTTAGCATCCTTGCATAAATCAGTGTTTGAAGGGTGACATGTAAAGGATGATGCTTGTTTGTAACTTGTAGTATACCCTGACAACCAGTGCTCAAAGTTGGAGAAAAGAGGAGTGCCCTGGCTCCTGCAGACTTTGGAAGCTATTCCTGTCACACAATGAACAAGAGAGCTGGCACTGGCTCTTCCTGATTTGGAACTGGAGTGTTGCCTCACTCCAGTTATCCTGAATCTGGATGCCCTCAAACTAGGCCCACCATGTGGATAGGTGCCCCCACCACTAACCTAGAGAAGAGGTCTAAATAGAAACCAGGCATTTGAAAAAAAATTTTGTTTCGGGTAAAACGAAATGTTTCTTTCCCTCCTTAACACTTTTCTTTAATCATCTAAAAACTAACATAAAATCTGCCCTTGGATCAGCTTGACATTTCTCCTAGTTGCCTTCCCCGCTCAGCCACGTACACGAGTTCACAGGGAGTGCCGAGGAACCCCAAGCTCTGAAGTTTAGCTAGACCTTGCTTTTCTCCCGCCAGCATGACGGCCAGGGCCGGATGCCGCGTAGGACCGGCCGGCCGGGGCGCTTACCACTGAGTCACCGCTCCGCCGCCCTCCCCAGCCGGACAAACAGCGATGGGGAAGGGAGGAGCGGGGG